GACAGGAGGATTATGATCGCTTGAGGCCCCTCTCCTACCCGGACACGGATGTTATCCTGATGTGTTTCTCCATCGACAGCCCTGATAGTTTAGGTGAGTAGCTCTGCAGCCTGAAGTTTGTCACTGCCCGTGTGCCTGGCTGACACCGAGTTTCTCAGGTCCTTTCTGGGCATCAAGCAGGCGAGCATCAGAGAAGGACTCCTCAGTGGCCAGAGTCCTAGAGCCTTGAGTGTGTGTAACCTGGGCCCTGGGCTTTTTCAGCCGGGTCTCCCGTGGCTGCCCTGTGTCCACTTTATGAAGCAGGCGAGTTCCAAAGACAGAACTCGCTTTTGGACTGAGATTGGGGGAAGGCTTTCCGGGGGGCCTGTACCTTTTCTAGTGCTTCATGGTGCCTCCCTGTATCTAGACTGGGGACTGCTATTTCCGGTGGTGTTTTCAAGTCCTCTCTTAGCCCTTTTCTGAAGCATCTTAGCTAATAATGAGAGACTTGGACCTGCCATATTAGCTCAGTTGGTCACATGTTTCAGAAGCCACTCCTTCAGAAAATGACTAATACTGACCTCACACTCTATAAAACAAGGCACTAGCCTTGAAGTCAGAGAGTGAGCAGCTTACTTATAAAATATAGTTTCAAATCACAATCGGCACCATTGAAATCATCATCGTACTAAGTGCTTTGCATGCATTGACTCGGTATAACCGGTGTGAGGTAGGGATTACTCTTTTTCCCACTTTATATATAAACCATCCCTGACACTGAGGGGTCCGAAGTGAGGGTGTGGAGGCTGAACCCAGCCCGCTCGTCCACCTTGATGTCCATACAGCCGTACTCCAGGCCGGCAGGAAGCCGCAGCTGCTGTCCCGCATGTTTAGAGCTTGTGAGCCATTGGATATACCAGTAACCTACAGGGTAGGGACATGCTGAGGGCCCAGGAGCAAGGTGTACAGAGAACATGTGGACGCTGGGCCAGCTGCAGCCCCAGAATGGGGGTGTGGTCAGAGTCCCCTGCCAGCAGGGATGGTGATGGGCATGGGGAGCCTCCCTGCATGGGCAGGTGGCACCACTGGAGTCACCCTGGGCACTGACGGATCCTTTGCTGCTCCGGGGTCTTTCCCTGGGCCCCACCTCCACAGGAGCTGTGCTTCCTAGTGGGACTGACAACAGCTGGTGATTCTGTGCCTAATGGTAGGGGTTAAATTTTGCCTTTTCCTGGCAAAATTAAAACTAGTTTTAAAACTAGTGAAATTCCATTAAATGGCCAGCATAATTCTGAAGTAGTTTCTTTGCAGTTTTGTAGAGAGCACCTGGGAAGGCACATGGGCATTTCTTTAATTATCGTCAGCTGAAGCCAGTGGCGTTTGGCAAAGCCAAGTCCTGGAAACACGTTTTGCCAAAAGGCAGGAGTGTTGTCAGCTTGACCTTCAGCCCAGGTTCCAGGGGGTGGGTTTTGTTATTTAAATCCAGCCAAGCCCCAAGAATGCAAATAGGCTCCTTTGTCTTGACTTTTAGTAAAACTTCCTGGTTTTTTGCTGTATAAAATAAACATGCTGTATTGGCTCGGGGTCACTGTCTCTGTCCCTGTCTCATCAGAGGACAGCGGTCCCACCCGGCCCCAGCTTTTCCTTCCATCTGTGTCCCTTTCTTTCATTTTCTCAATCCCCAGCCGCCCCTACTCAGGAACTGGACTGCTCTCTAGCCGCGCTGCACACGGAGGAGAGAGACATATTCACACAGTTTAATTAGGGATCTTGGAGATTCTTAACGCTATAACTTTATGTATCCCTGAATTATGTGCATTTCACTATTTTCAGAAAACATCCCAGAAAAATGGACTCCGGAAGTCAAGCATTTCTGTCCCAATGTGCCCATTATCCTGGTTGGGAACAAGAAGGATCTTCGAAATGATGAGCACACAAGGCGGGAGCTAGCCAAGATGAAGCAGGCATGGACGGGACAGGGTTCTGTCGTCTTGTAGCATTCTTTTTTCTTTTTTTAATCCTCACCTGAGGATATGTTTTCATTGAGTGGGGGTGGCGGTGGGGGTGGGGAGAAGACATTGATCGCACACACCCTAACGGGAATCAGATCCACCACCTTTCGGTGCACGGGATGGCACTCCAACCAACCCAGCCACACTGGCCAGGTCTTGTTGCATTCTTGAACCTGAGGACCCAAGTGGAGGTTCAGGGAGCCCAACAGAAACCTCTCTCTCCATCTGGCCCTTATTGCCTGGGGTCTGGTCATATGAGATGGAATCTCCCGTGAGGTAGTGCTATGCTCCCTGGACTGCCTGCCTCGGAAGGGCCCGTCACAGCAGGCGTCAATGCTCCAAGTGCAGGAACTTGACCAGGCTCTGGATTTCCCTCTTCAGTTATTACCTTGGTGTATGTGAGGCCAAAATAAATTGGTGGCAACTGAAGGATCAGGAAGTTCTGAGGGCGGGGAGTCAAGGCCAAGAGCCCCATGCCTTTAAAAGGTGATGATGGAGAAGCCAGGTGGCCCAATGGCGGGGCTTCCCCGTGGCAGGAGGAGAAGGTTCTCCCACTGGGGTTTCTCTGTCTGAATGTCAAGGTCAGGATCTATTTTCTCCCGAGGCGTCCGTCCTCTGGGAAGCTACAGGAGGACCAGGGGCTTGCCTGGATCAGCAGCTTGAGTCATTGTGTCCTCCAGTCCCTCCTTAATGTTAACCTACAGGGCTTCTCTGGCCTCTCCCCAGAGAAGAGCGCATGTGAGAGGGACACTATATTGGGTTGGGGCTCACTACATAAGAATCTCATAGACAGAACTCAGAGTTGGGGATTTGGTAGCTTTTAAAAGAGGTCTTAGCTGAAATTAAATACACCTACTCACTGTATGTATATAACCCTCTTCTCTCTCTGCTAGGAGCCAGTAAAACCGGAAGAAGGCAGAGATATGGCAAACAGGATTGGCGCTTTTGGGTACATGGAGTGCTCAGCAAAGACCAAAGACGGAGTGAGGGAGGTTTTCGAAATGGCCACGAGAGCTGCTCTGCAGGCCCGGCGTGGGAAGAAGAAATCCGGGTGCCTTGTTTTGTGAGCCCGCTGCAAGCACAGCCCTCACGCGGTTCCTTTTGAAGTGCTGTTTATTAATCTTAGTGTATGATTCCTGGCCTTTTTCATTTATCTATAATTTACCTAAGATTACAAATCAGAAGTCATCTTGCTACCAGTATTTAGAAGCCAACCATGATTATTAATGATCTGGCCCGCGGGTCCTCTGCCACCGCTCTAACCGCCTCCTCTGCACCCCCACCCGATACACAGGCGCTAATTCGAGGAATCCCTTCACTTCTTGCTTCTTTCTAGAAAGAGAAATGGTAACTTTTGTGAGTTAGGCTGTAACTACTTCATAACTAACATGCTTGCCTGTCATCTGTCAGCTGCAAGGGACTCTGGGAGCTACCCCTTCAGGGCTGGACTCCTGAGCAGGTTTCCTTGTGCCTCTGGAGTGGGCACCCAGTTCTCGGATGTGCTCAGCAGAGGCCCGGGGCCTGCAGCTGTGGCAGTTCCAGTTCTGTGGTTTCATGTTAGTTACCTTATAGTTACTGTGTAATTAGTGCCACCTAATGTATGTTACCAAAAATAAATATATCTACCCAAACTAGATGTAGTATTTTTTGTATAATTGGATTTCCTAATACTGATATTTGTCATCCCCACAGAAAGTGTATTGGTTTTTTTAAAAAAGAAAGTGTATTTGAAAATAAAGTCAGATGGAAGATTCATTTTTAAAATTCCCGCTTTGTCGGTTTCTCTGATAAAAGATGGCCATATCACCCGTTTTCACCCCACATATCCCAGTCCCCTCCCCAGAGCTGGGCTAAATAAACAGGAATTTGGTTCCGTGCCTGAGGAATGTAGTCGCTTCCGAAGGCGGCACAAGCTGTCGCACCTGGACTGCGGGCCTGGCTCTCGGTCGCCCTGCTCCTCGCTGTGCCAGGTTTCCTCCGGGGGAGCCACCAGTTCTGTGCGCTCGGGCTCTCCTCCCGCTGACTGAACTGTTTTCTGTACCAGTTAATTTTTCCAACTACTAATAGAATAAAGGCAGTTTTCTACACTTCCTGTATCCTGGTGTTTGTGTTCCTCTCTCGGGGCTGGGAGGGGGAGGGGGAGGGTGGGCTTGGCTTCCTGCAGGGGGCGAAGTGCCAGCTGGCCCACCACCCCTTTCCTCATGCCACTAGCCTGGCTCCTAAGAACATGCCGACGACCACCTTGTGTCACATTCAGGTTCAGCGCTGGGCTGGGTGGGGAGTGCAGCCTGCGGGGACGTGAGGGCACCCCAGCCGCGTTCTGCACAGATCAGGAGTGCGACTTTGTCCTCATTCCCTCCCGTTTCCAGTGCCTTTAAGGTCCAGGAATGAGCTCCAGGATGAGCTCCAGGTGGAGTTGGTTAGGGATGGAGGACGGCCTGGAATCGCAGGCTCACGGCTCCATTCTAGGCCCTGGGGCAGTGCCCTACAGGCTGTACAAGGAGGAGGGAGGCCAGAGGGCAGGGCCCGAACACCTCGGACAGCCCGGACGCAGGGAACTGAGTGCGCGCTGGCTTCAGGGCCTGCGCTCTGCCTGCTCCTGGCACTGCCCACCCTCCTCAACCTTCCTGAAACCACAGCCTCCTCGCAGAAGAACCTGCCTTGGCGGGTGCTGCCAACCCCACCATCACCACAAGCCACAACTTGCTGTGCACCCAGTAACAGGGCGAGCTCTGCGGGAACAGCGCGGGCAGAGGCCGGAAGGGCTGTGGCCGGGAGAGCGCCAGGTGCTGTCGCCTGCAGCCGCCTCCAGCCCCTACAAGAGCCTTGGAGACCGGGCCCTGGCGCCCGTCGGGATAACGGTCAGCGCCCAGCTGCGCGCAGCTCCGCAGGGTGTGGGCGGTGTCTGCATCCGGCCGGGTCGCACCCTCCCGCCCCGCCGGTCACCAGCCGGGGAGGCGGATGGGGCGGGGCGGAGGGGGTGGAGCTGCCTGTCCCACGTGACGCCACGGCCTGCCTGTGAGTTAAAAGGCGATGCGCCCCGGGTCCCCTGGTGTTCCTGTCCCCAGCGCTCCCGGTGCTGCCCACCCCACGCCATGTGCGCCGCTAAGCTGGCGGGGGCCGCGGCCCCGCGCTCCGTGCACGCGTTCTCTGCGCGCCCGCTGACCGGCGGGGAGCCCGTGAGCCTGGGCTCGCTGCGGGGCAAGGTGCTGCTCATCGAGAACGTGGCCTCGCTCTGAGGCACGACGGTGCGCGACTACACCCAGATGAACGAGCTGCAGCGGCGCCTCGGGCCGCGGGGCCTGGTCGTGCTCGGCTTCCCGTGCAACCAGTTCGGGCACCAGGGGCGCCGGGCGGGGCAGGCCGGGGGCGGCGGGGCGAAAGAGGCAGGAGCCATGTAATCGCCTGCTGACGATAACTATCTCTCATCTACAATAAACCTAATAGTTTTGACAAAAACTACACAGCATAGACGAAGATTTACAACCCGTTTGAGAACAGGAAAATACTACCAATTGTACGATGGAGTACAACTGGAAGGAGACGGTGTCAAACAAGGAGAACTACGCCAAATGATCTCTTTTAGTGAGCCCGGGGGTCTTTTTGTCTT